GACCTGCTGAGCTTTTCCAGCAACTTTGTTTTTGTTCCTGATTTACAGCATCCGCAGTTCGTTCGGTTTTTATTGGGGAAATCACTGCCTGGGCACTATCAGTGACACAGTGCTGACCTCTGTGTTTGACTCCTCATTTTACCACAATGCTGCAGTACTAACCACAAACCCAAATTTCGACCCATGGTCTCTTGGCCACTGGAGATTCTCAGAGACAGGAAAATGCCAGTTGGGTAAGAAAACAGTTCAAGGGAAAACAAAAACAGAAAATGCTGGGAAATCTCATTATCTGTGGAGGGAAATCAGAATTAATGTTTCCGATCCGGTGATATTTCCTCAAAACTGATTGTAGCTGGGAAAAAGCTGTTTTTTATGCAGAAGGTAGGGTACGGGAGAGGGGGTAAGGGGTAAGCGATAGGTGGAGATAGAGCTGAAAGGGAGAGAAGAACAGTTGGACAGACAAAGGAATGGATAATGATCAGGCTGGGAGAATGAATAGCTGCTAGTGGGGACAATTAGTGGCTAACAATGGGTTGTGTGTCATAGCAGACCATATGATAACAAGGCCTGGTGTGTGGGGATTTGGGGTAAGGACATGGGCAAAGGTGCCTCAAGCCCGGAAATTGTTAAACTCTATATTGAGTCAAGGGACTCAATTGCTCAAGGGATAAGGGTCAAGGGGATAAGCCCAGCAATTGTTGCCTGTCCCTAGTTGCCCTGAGGGCAGTTAAGAGTGAACCACGTTGCTGTGGGTCTGGAGTCACATGCAGGCCAGATAAGGACAATAGATTTTCTTTCCTGAAGGATATTAATGAAGCAGATGGGTTTTTACAACACTTGGCAGTGTCAACATTGGGTGTTTTATTAAATTTAACTTCCAACGTCTGCCATTGTGGGATGCAAACCCATGTCCCGAGAACATTAACTTGGGGTTCTGGATGACTAATGCAAGACATGATCACTACACCACCAGCTCCCCTCCTGTGCCCAGTGAAGCCACATGTGGATGGAATGCATCTTGTTTCATTATTTAATAAGGAGCTGTTTGCTCTGACAGCAGGAGATTGCAGGATAATCTGGCTGGCATTAGGATGAACACTGCCCATACCCCTGCTGCCACTGCTTTACTGCCACTTTCTGACAAGCTGCCAGCTGATACAAATAAATGACTGGTCAATACTTTTCATGAAAGTCAGACACAGTGACAATAGGCCTTTTGGGAGCAAAATGAAGAGGGATTTCTCCATGCAAAGATTTGATGGAAATCTTTCCTTCAAAGGCAGCAGATGCTGGGTGTTCAACTAACGATGGACGGAATTTTATTGGAAAAGGGTATGCGGAGTAAATGTGGCTCAACACAGATCAACCACGATTTCAATGAACAGTGAAGCCTGCTCAAGAAGCTGTAGATCTGATTTCTTCTGTTCCTACGTTTAAACTTTGAGGTACTTGGCACCACTGTGGAGACAGTGAGTTAACCTTTCAGGTCAATGGCCTTTCATGCTCTCTGTGTGTGCCTGGCAGCTTGATCCATTGTGCATAATGTCCTTGTGACATGTCAAAAATCTGCCGAGGACAGACGGTGAGATGGACAAATATTTTAGAGATCAAAGTGATTTCCAAGACCCCTAAAGTTACGCAGATGGGAGAAAATTGCTTCAAACTGAACTTGTCCTATTTATTGCAAACTGACAGTGGCAGAGTTTACTAGGAGAGCTGTGCCAAAAGATACTAATCTGGCAGTGGCTGTTGCTAAAATACACTGGGGAAAGTATCAATGGCTATAGAGGAGGGGACTTTAATTGGACTTTTTTATAAAGCTGCTTTTTAACTGGTGAATAAGGACTTGGATAGTTGTCTGCCTGTTAATGGTGCTTTTGCACATTGCAGTTGGAGGGAAAAATACTCCCAGAAAACCATATGATTTGAATGATTAGCACACGATATGATATTGTGATCTGATGGTTAATAACCTCCCTTGATGGCTAAGTGGAAATCATCCACATTGAGACATTTTGCTTTCTGCCTCTGATGAAAGATGAAAGGGATTGATTACTCCAATGCTGTATATCTAAGCGAAACGCTCCTTTTGTTCAGTTTTATGTGAAGCCACAATTCCTTTCCAACTTGTTTCTGGAGCTCCTCTGCTCATAGATAGCCTTTATTTCTTTTATTATTAGTTGCATTTAGTCTTTTACAAAATAAAGTTTTTAAGGAAGGGTGGATTTTTGCTGGGCATTGATGAATCGTCACCGTCACCACGGAAAATCTCTGGAATCTGGGTATGCTTCCCAAAACCTCTACAATGTGTAGGGTCTATGTGAGATGTTTTATTTGTAATGGTGGCGTCACTCACCCCAAAATGCTCAGAATGTCTCAGGTTGAGGGGCACGACTGCAGTGCCCGATATCTACCATGCAATCGACCAATCAAAGGATGACCTTGTCATTTTCATTGCGCATTTTCAATCTTTGCGTATTTGGATGGAGAAAATACTTAGTAAGATGAGACCATATCAGGACCATTGCACTGCTTAATGTCTCAAATGTACTCACTTAACAAAGAGTGCAGTTTGACTCATTGCAATAATGCAAAATTAATGAACCTACTAAGCTTCTCTGTATCTTTAGCGCATCTTACTTGATAAAGTAAAGTGATTCCTAATTACCCTTCTACATTGCCCTGCTAGCTTGGCTAAAGCTATGATTCACAACTCAGTTTAAAAAAAGGTAATTGATTACCTGCAGCCCTTTCTATTCTCTTGTTTCCTTGCTGACAGGAAATTGGGCTTTACTTCTGACCCCTCTGCGCACCTGATTGGTCAACAGGGCTGTAAATTCAAGTTGGGCCTAGCACCTTATTCGTCCCAAGAGGCCCTGGGATGAGATTTAAAAAAAAAACACCTATTGTTTCTGATTGCCAGGGATAATACTCTCAATCGGTCTTTGATGCACCGTGTAATGTCCCTAGTGACTTTTGCAGTGCAGTGGTAGTGTCCCTACCTCTGAGCCAGGAAGCTGGATTCAAATCCCAGCTGCCCCAGAGGTATGTGATAACATCTCTGAACAGGTTGCTTAGGAAAATATCTTGGTAGCGTCCTGCTTCTGAGCCAGGGGTTCTACATTCAAGTCCCAATCCAGGACTTGTTGGCCAAGGAAGATGCATTCATGACAATGGCCAAACAAAGTAAATGCTCCCAATCTATGCACCAATGGTAGGTGAGAGCGGGAGAGATTCCTACTCAGCCATGTCGCAAACAGAAAATGGGAGCCTCCGCCATCACTATTTGTGGATGGGGACTACGGCATGTAGAAATGTTGCCACGATAAAAACATAGTCTCATTGGATGGTGGAGTGGTTGTTGCCTCAGATGGCTGGATGCGTGGTGTAAATCAGATTAGTAATAACAGCACTGGGTTCAATCCCCATTCTGACAGCAGTGGATTCAGGCCCTGCCTCCTTACCTTCCCTGTGGCAGTGGGTCAGATCTGCCTTTGAGCAGACAACTGAAGACAATGAAGAATGGCCTCAGTGTCTGATTTTTAAGATGCCTATGACCTTTCTTTTGAAACAAATGGGTTTGATTTTAAAGTGGAATACTATTGCTCTCTTCAGGTCAATATCTTTTATTTAATTCATTGACAGGATTTGGCCATTACGATCAAGGCCATTATTAATTTTTTTATTATTCATTAATGGGATGAGGGCGCCGCTGGCTAGGACAGCATTTATTGCCCAGAGGGCAGTTCAGTGTCAACCACATTGCTGTGAGTCTGGAGTCACATGTAAGCCAGACCAGGTAAGGATGGCAGTTTCCTTCCCTAATGGACATTAGTGAACCAGATGAGTTTTTTTCCCACAATTGGCAATGGATTCATGGTCGTTATTAGACTCTTAATTCCAGATATTTTTATTGAATTCCAATTCCACCATCTGTTGTGGCAGGATTCGAACCCAGGTCCCCAGAACATTATCTGGGTCTCTGGATTAACAGTCCAGCGATAATACCACTAGGCAATCACCTCTCCAAGTTAATTGCTTATCCTTTATTGAACTAAGACTTGCATGAGTTAAGAGTCAACCACTTTGCAATGAGCCTGGAGTCACATATAGGATGGACTTGATAGGAACAGTTAGTAGACTAAGGAGACATAAGAGAATCAAATCTGTTTTTATGACAGTCCAGTTTGAGTCATAGAGTTGTACAGCACAGAAACAGAGTCCTCAGTCCAACTCGTCATTTATTGGTCAACATTACTGACACTAGTTTTGGATTCCAGCACTTTTTTAATGACCTGACTTTAAATTCCCCAACTGTTGTGGGATTTGAACATATATTTCTGCATTATTGGGTTAGACCCCTTCATAAACAATGTAATAACAGAATGATTGTGCCACCACATCCTGAATAGTAAAGGGCCAGTGGTAGGATTGTGAAAGAATGGGAGCAAATTGGCTGGTAGTCCTTCTTCATTTAGCCCAAACTAAATCTGATTTTAAGACAAACTTTGTCTCTAGCAACAACCAACAACTGCATTTATATTGGACCTTTAAAGTCATAAAACATATTAAGGCACTTCAGAGGAGTTTTTTTGAAAAGAAGTTGACAATGAGCTATGCATGTAAAGAAATATTGGGCTGGTAATCAAATGCATAGTGACACAAGGGAGGTAAGAGGGAGAGTGAAAGGTTCAGGGAGGGAATTCCAGAGCTTAAGTTGTATGTTTCTGAGGCAGGTCCACCAACTGTGGAACAACTACAATTGAAGGAGATATCAAGTCAGATCAAGTCAGGAAAGGGTCTCAGGGATTGGGAGAGGTGAGCACCTTGGAACAATTGAATCTTAACCAGGCACCAAGCCTGGAACTAACGAACAAACACAAAATCACAAAGTTTTTAAAGATGATTGGTCAGCTGTTGCACAAAGTGCATTGTTACTTTGAAATCCAAACATGGTGTAAGAAACAAATCAGTTTATATTCTCCTTTTCTTTCTTTCAGAATAAAGTATTGAATGTGGATGACGTGAAAGTTAAGCTGCAGGTATGTTTGACCTCTGACTTCTGCCCTCCCCATTCAAAACGATGAGGGAACAGAAACTTTCCAGCATTCGGTGAGATTAATTCATTTTTAGGCTCAACAAAATTAAAATCTGTTTCAAAATTACTCAAGTGGGTGATGTTCCAATTTTTCTCATCACAGCTGACAATAACAGTTTGTAAAAATTAAGCTCAATGGGCTCCTTGTATGTTTGTGACTGATCTTAAAGCAAAAAAAACATTTTAAAAGCCTGACAAAAACGTGGGAGCTGCTGTGACTCAGCTGGTAGCACTATTACTTACAAATTGGAACAAGGTGATTGTTGTATAAGGGAATGGCTCTGGAAGTGTTTATGCTGAATTGGCTCCACACAAACTGAGGATGTCACGCAGTCTCTGGGATCTTGTCGGAGTCAGGAGAGGTAACTAGTCAAGGTAACTTACACTTTTTGCTATCTTTCCAATAACTACCTCTTGTTATGTAAGGCACTTGCCTCTTTTTGTTAAGACACACCAGTGGTTTAATCTCTACTGCTGATACTTTGTCAGTATTTTAAAGTCAGCATAGAAAGGAGAATTTGTGGCAGCACTCTATCTAAACCATCCTGAGCCCAAAGCAGTAGTGGGTTCAAAACCTACTGTAGGACCTGAGCATAAAAATCAAAATAAAAGTGATGTCTTTTGGATGCCTGTTAAACCAAGGCTCCCTCATCCTTTTCAGATGTGGCCAAAGTCTCCCACAGCACAAGACCAGAGCAATTTTCCCCACTGTCCAAGCCAATCAATTTACCTGAGGAAGATAATTAGGCTATTCTCGCATTACTGTATGTGGGATCATGCTGTGCATAAATTGGCTGCCTATCTCAAAAGTGATATCATAGAAGTGACTACACTTCAGCGGTACTTCATTGGCGGTAAAGCTATTTGGGATGTCCTGTGGTCGTGAAGGTTGCTATAAATGCAAAATTCTTTTTTAAAGGGTGCTACTCTATTTTCCCTGCTAAGTCATTGCAGTGAAATTGAGCCCTTTCTCCACACAGCATGAGAGAGACTGGGAGATGGAGGAAAGGGAGCATTCCACATTGATACTAGGCACGAAAAGAAACATGTTGATTTCTCGTTGTGTTGAGTAGGATTGTCCAGGTAGAGTTTTACAGGGCACCAAATGCACATCATCCCAACTCAAGCACTTTCTGAGTGAACTCTGTGCAGTGTCAGGGTGAAGTCTGGCCTGCAGGAAAATAATCATCTGAATGCAGACCCTTAACAGGGTCTGAGAAATGCTAAACTTAAATAATTGATAAAGCCACATTCTTGGATGTTGTCAAGCAACTTTGGCGAAGGTTTTCAAGTCCTGCTACACTGAGTGAAGCTCTTTTTTACATAAAGGGACCACTTCTTATTGTTGGTTGGACATCGTCTATTCATGGAATTCAGGTTCTCATTCCCAACTGTCTTTAAATCAAAATCCATTTCTCCTAAAGAGTTTGTTGCTTTAGTGTTGGAGTTGAATGCTAGCAGCTCAGAGTGTAATTTTATGTCTTGGGATTTGTATGGCGCAGTAGTAAACAGAAAAGTTAACACTTGTTAGATTCTGTTGTCAGATGGTAATGGCTGAGAACTGTAGCATGCATTACACTATGTTCCCTATAGGTAACAGTTCAGTAAGCAGAAAGGATGGAGCTCTCCATTATAAATGGGCTCTAAACCTTTTCCCTGCCATCAAAGCAAAATCCATTATGTAATACTGCCTAGAACTGACAAACCCCAGTCACATTATTCATGTTTGTGATTACTGTTCAAACATTTCATTAAAAACAGAGTGGCTGCCTTGCATTCTGTAGCTTATTGAGGTGGACATTGACCGTGCACATTGATCCCAGATATATCTCAAACAGACAAAACTTTCCTATTAGTCACACTCTCATTGTCTAAGGTGTGTGCCAATGAGATTAGAATATATATTTGATTGCTTTATATTTGATTGCTTGAACATTTAAATGGCAGGACTCTGAATATTCAACATGAAAAATTCTAATCCTTATCTAATCAAGCCTAATTGAGATCAATCAGTAAATTTACTAGATTCAGCAAGTTGATTTCTGAATTTACAGTGGGCTGGACAATTTGAAATCATGAGAAAAATGTCTCAAATGCCTGAATGAAAATTGGTCACATCCTAATGTTAATAACACTGCTGGGCCAATATAAACGGTGTAAAATTGGCCAAATAAGACAGCATCAGAATTATCTCCCTGTACATTAAATATAAGGAAAAGAGAGAATCGAGGGATATGGAGATGGTGTGGAAAGGTGGATCTAAGATAGGAAATCAGCCATGACCTTGTTGAATTAGGGAACAGGCTTGAAGCACCAAATAGCTCACACTTGCTCCTACTTCCTATGTCTGTACATATTTAATAAAGACCTAAAGGGCCACGTCAACTTGTAAGGAGCCTTATCCATCAAGAATGAGTTGAGAAGGATTAGGATTGCACTGTTCATGATTTTCAAACCGTTCTTACTTATTGCTAATGCAACAGCAACCTAAATTGTGGCTTTAACATTGAAGCATGCCCAGTGGTGTTGATTTACTGATGCACAATCTAAGAAAAATGGACAGGGAGTGAAAGAAGGTTAGAGAGGCTGGTTTCCTAAAAAAAGACTTGGTCAAAGATTTAGGGTTTAGGAAGGGACTTGAGAGATAGTGAGAGGCAGGATTCTGTTCAAGGTACATTATCAGTGTGCCATTGTATAGCTACTGTCAAATTGTTTGCTGCATATTTTGGCCACATGTCTCTGGTAAATTAATAATCTGGCTAAGTAGTGGCGGTATAAGGACTGTGGCAGTTCAAAAAGAAGATCTAATCTACCAGTGATCATCTTAAGCTAGCACTCCTGATATGCTGTGAACCAGTAACAAAAATGGTGTCACAGAAACATCCAAGTGATATCACACATAGATAGCATGGCAGAGCTTTACTATCTCCAATCACTCTTACACTGTTTTTCCTCTGCTGGTGTATGTCAAATATGACTGCTCTTTTATATAGGTCCTGATGTAAAATAGCAGATCGTGATGGTCAGGAAAGTGAATTTGCATCAACGTGATAGAAGGCTAGATGAAAAGCACTGATCTTTCAACAGGAAACTCCACAGGAATAACTCATGTGTTTATAACATAACTTTGTTTCTGATTTCAGATCTGGGATACAGCAGGACAAGAAAGGTTTCGCAGTGTGACTCATGCTTATTACCGAGATGCTCATGGTAAGGATTACTGCCACGTGTGAATATGTCTCTAATTGTGTTTTGTCACATGTATTATTTGGAAGTACATCAAGCTTCCAGCGCAGAAAAAGGCCATTCTGCACAACCATCTATGCCTTTATTTATGCCACATGCTAGCCTCCTTGCATCCCTCTTCATTTTATCCTATCATGTGGTAATCCAGCTTCCCTTAAAATGCATCTGTGCTAATTACCTTAACACAAGGTGACCAACTCTTAGGGAATAAAATAAGGGACACTTTCAACCATGGGGTCATGGTGGTCATAAGGCCTTTATGGCTGGGGTGGGGGGAGGGAAGAGAGACAGAGAGAGAGAGAGAGAGTGGGGTGATCATAACTCCCTCTGGTGGTCAACGGCCACAGTACAATGCTTGCCTAAAACAACGATGCAAAGACAGGAGAACAGACAGTAGGAACTGCCGATGCTGGAATCTGACATAACAAGGTGTGGAGCTGGAGGAACACAGCAGGCCAGGCAGCATTAGAGAAGCAGGAAAGCTGACATTTCGGGTCTGGACCCTTCTCCAAGCCGGGTTTTATAACCCTTGTCAGCTCTTGGGAGCTGTCCCTGATGGGCGATGGACATCCTCTGAAGATAGCACACATCGCCATTATCGCCATTTTAAATAAAAACGTTTTGACAACTGTAGTGATTGGGACCAGGTGGACCTCATTGACCACAATGTTCTTGATTGGGGGTATCATCCTGGGCCAATCAGGAAAGCCTGGGCTGACCAATATAACCAGGAGATGAGAATCTCCTCAGTTGAAGACTAACTCTGAGCTGGCTGCCTACAGCCAGGGTACTGGGCACTAGTAAATAAAGGGTGACTTGGTGATGGGACCCTGCTTCTGTGCAATTATTTTAACAATGTTAGTTCTTAAAAACGCTAACTGCATCAAAGTGTGGAAAGGGTAATATCATGGTCAGTTGAACCTTAGTTGTTTATTTACATATGGCGGATGGCCTGCTGATTTTGACATCTTCTATACTATAGGGTGAACTTAGGAATGAGTGAGAAGGCAGTGGGGTGAACACCTGCTCTTCACATACACCCGACAAAAAAACACAGCTCATGGTGTTAGCAAGAACTGCAGATGCTGGAGTCAGAGTCAATACAGTGTGGAGCTGGAGGAACCCAGCAGGCCAGGCAGCATCAGAGGAGCAGGAAAGTCGATATTTTAGGTTGGGACCCTTCTCGAGAACTGACCCGAAACGTCGGACTTTCCTGCTCCTCTGATGCTGCCTGACCTGCTGTGTTCCTCCAGCTCCACACTGTATTGACACC